TAGTACAAGCAGCCACACATACACACGCATGCGCGTCGTCATATGAGCGAAATATTATTAAGGACGACGTTAAACCACAGGCCCTCGTGTCTTTGCGAGGATTAAAGATTTGAAAAAAAATATATATACATTTGAGATGACCCCCGACTCGAAATGTGTCACAGTACAATACATTATGACAAGGCCGGACACTTCGGTGTACCCCACCCGCCTGCTTTGCCGATCGCTGCGCTACCATCGCATGCAATCGATTAAAACTTAATGTAATCACGATCATGGATGATTGGCCTATCGAGCACCGCTCGTGACACCTACCAATTCTTTATTGTTATTTCTGCAAGTCGAATGAAACCCGATTTGGGTTCTTAACTATAAACGATCTTGACACAAATGGATGCCGATATATCCGCACAAAACGGGGGTGTGGTCGAAGCAAGCCCTCTGGTTGGTTGATGTTTGTTAAGGAGACATTTTACAACTGATGCTTTCTTTTGAGAAGGCATTGCTGGAAAAAGAATTCTTACATTTTAAGTCAAGCAGTCGATGAAAGTAAAAATTCCCCCGAAGTTGTAAAGAATATGCAGATTTGCAAGCGTTGACCAATCAGAGAGCTTGCTTCGACCACACCCCTGTTGTGTGCGGACATATCGGCATCCATTTGTCTAAGTCTCTTCTGTTCAAGCCCGTGAAGATCCGGGTTAGAATTGATCTTCAATAACCCATTCTTGTCGTAGGAGGCGACAAACGGAATCAGGTGCTCACTCACTCACTTTTATGTTCAAACGACAACAACTTCTGCACGCTCTCATGGTGTGTTGCAATTAAGTCTAAAACCACATTCTAATCTCACTAACTCACTCAAACACAGAAGTCCTTAAGTGGGTCCACAACACTTTATTCCGTGACAATACACACAGCTACAGCAACAGCATATCCCGGTAGATCGTCAATTCATTACATTTCAAATAAGTTGGTGATAAAATTAAAATATACATGATTTCTCTTACCTTCATGTAAAACACTTTAATTTCATTGGTCAATGACGGTTAACAAGTTTCCGTGTCACCCTCCCAGGAGGGTGACAACTGGAAAATATATTACCCGCTGCCACGGTAACCGCCAAGCTCTCCGCCGAGAAGCTGAAGCGCTAACAATCGTATGACGTCATAATATGACGCATGCCGTTCCCGGAGTTCGAAAACCGTTCGATCAGCTGTTTTTGTGTTCATTTTGTACAGATCTATTTTATACATTGAGTGGTTTGCACACTCAGCTTAAACATAATTAACAATTTTTATAGTAGTTTTATGCTTGTCAGAATATGTTTCACTAATGTTAAAAATCCAGTCGAGAGGCAGACGCCATTTTGTTTGCATGTCATAAATATAGTCGGTAGCGATCTTTAACATAAAATAAAATGATATTTTGTACATTTAACATGGCGGTAAGATAAATACGTTGTATGCTTCTCCCTCGAAAAATACGGTCTGATGTACGCCTCTTTGTAGCAGTGTCATCCCTCGCCTACCGGCTCGGGTGACACTGCTACAAAGAGGCGTTCATCAGGCCGTATTACCCTCGAGAGAAGCATACTTATAATGTATATTATACACGATCAACATCAAATGTTATAATTCAGTTTCTAATTGCTAAATTACTAAAATTGATCATTCACAAAATTGAATAACTGATATATGCTGATAGAAATATCGACAAAAGAATGATAATATTTCGTCAAAGATAATTTCTTTGGGACATGCCAAGACACAAGAACCCATTTTTTTTCTAAATTAACATAACGACACAACGATTAACATAATCAAGGTAAGTCGGGCAAAAGCAAATATCCAAGATAAGGTATATCCAAATTACAGAGATGCTGTATTATATGGCCTTAATGGAGACTCTGAAGACTGTAAACATTTGTATTATGTATTGATGTTTGCTAGATTTATAGTGTATCGCTGCAAAGTCACTGGAAGTGATTGTAATTTTGACACTTTCATAAAAGATCTAAAATTACATTATAAAATACTGAAACATACGGGAAAAATGTAAGTGAAAAAGTAAAATCCCTGTGTCCGTAGTCTTTAACACTTATGACAACTGTATTGCTAATAATCACCTATCATTTTTAACCCCAATACCCTGGTATGTCCATCCACGTGACACTGTACAGGGAATGTAGAATCGTGGAAACTTATTTTATTGCTAATAATGATGCTTGAAAAGAAAAGGCAGGTAGAAAATAACATCTTCACATCTTCAGATGAATGTCTTCCTCTGAATAAGTAATACATGAGTGGTACATGTGTCAGAAACAGGAATACAAAGTTACATGAACTCAACAGGAAATGGATAATTTTCTATCATTCAACAAAACACGGGCTCTCCCTTCCTGTGTGTGATCTTTTCTCCGTATCGCATCGCGACATACCAATCAAATCAATACAAATATAATGACACACATCATTAACATCATATTCAAATACAAGAGCATACACTGAGTTTAAAAACATATTAATGAACGACTGACAGGGGCGCCACTATTTTGACTGTACATACACATACAGGTGTATGTGACAACTGAGAGAATACACAACAAAGACATATATAAATTTACAAAAAAGCTATGAGTGGTGTAAAAAAGAAATATAGTGAGGGGATGGAGGCGACCCGGGGGTGAGGGGTGAGGAACAACGGTTATCACAGTGGGGATTGTTAATGCGATGCGGAAGTGGTGTTGAAGGCGAGTAGAGGTGGCAGGCTAGGGAGCGGCAAATGGGGAACTGAGCGAGTGGCGGTAATCTCAGTTATTATTAGATTTTCAGCGGATCCTTGAGGGAAAACATATACTGGAGGATCCGTCATCAGAGTTTTATAGAAGAACAGGGGCATTGCAATTTGTTAAGAAGGACCAATATAGTAACAACACCCATCCAGTGGGTTACAACAACTGAAAACACAGAACAATTATTGAACGTTACAAAGTCGCTGACACGTAGTATGCGGGGGGTACCTGGATTTCCTTTCTTAGCATACTCGTAGAGCACTCAAAGACTACTTGTAACATTCATACCGGTTCTCCATGAAAAACCTGTCACTGCACATGGATATACTAGAGACTTAGACTAACACTTAGTCTCTGAATATATATAATTTTGATTGTAACAAATAAACCTATTTAAATTAAAAAGGAGCCCCAGGGAGAACAGAGATCCTAGAGAAATCTAGACTTGCTTTATTTATGGCTTTAGCATTGCAGGAAGGACTAGGCTGTAGGGAAAATAATATGGTTCAGAAACTGTGAGACAGACTACTAGAGACCATTCACAGCTGCAAAGCGTTCAGTCGTGACCCAGTTGACAGTCTGTGTAGCTTGACTTTAATTGTGATGCTGATTCAAGATGGAATAAAGTTCTTCGTTCGTTTTGGGTTTAGATTTGCCATTTAAGTATTCCTTGAGGGTCATTTCATTATGATAGTAAGTTGTATTGAGGTTTGGATAGCTTCGGCTGCTAGCTGCTGTCCACGCCAATAGAGACATATATACTATTTTAACTTAACTTGAGGGTCATTTTATGATAATAGTAATGTCGCATAATACGTTAGAGGGATCAGTTCACATTCGGAGGTGTGAGTGAGTGAGTTTAGTTTTATGCCGCACTCACCAATATTCCAGCTATATGGCGGCGATCTGTAAATAATCGGATTTGGACCAGACAATCCAGTGATCAACAGCATGAACATCGATCTACGCAATTGGGATACGATGACATGTGTCAACCCAGTCAGCGAGCCTGACCACCCGACCCTGTTAATCGCCTCTTACGATAAGCATTGGTTACAGAAGATCAATTCTAACGTGGATCTTCACGGGTTTCACAACCGGAGAACTGGAAAGCAATACCTCCGTCAAATTAAACGTCTGATACAGTCAACGAGGAGGAGGGTTTGGGAGGATATTGCAGTTGGTCTAGGTTACACCAGCTATTGACATAGTTCTGGATTATATAGTCTTCTGGCATACCTTGGGGTTTGTATGCCAGAATGTTGATACTGACCGCACACATTAACGTCATACGATCATAGTTGTCCGCACTACAAAATGAGTCCAATTGTTTTGCCACGATTGTATCTTTGAAAACAGGTTCTAGTTCTCTGTACGCTTCGATTTGACCCCCTCGAGGGGCGATTTATCCAGATAGTAAGTTGAGTTGAGGTTTGGGTAGGTTCCTCTGCCATGATAAAAGGTAACATTGTAACTATGAAAAATATGGGTTGTTCTGATACTTACTGTTCTGAACCGGTTTTGGGTTTCGTTTGCAGGTTCCAGTCAATGCAAACATACATGCTTGGTCGTACACATCAGCTTTGTTTGTCTTGATCCTCCATATTCGTGATTCGTAATACAGAGGTGAGTGAAAAGGATCTCTGGAAAGCATCTTACTTCAAACGTGGGGCGGTGGGGATAGCCTAATGGTTAAAGCATCCGCCCGGGTTCGTGAAGCCCATTTGTGAAGCCTATTTCTGATGTCACCCTCCGTGATATTGCTGGAAGTGCTGACTCGCCTACTCCAGGTATAAATAACTGATTTATTCCTCATCCACTATTTTGTCCGTATTCAATATTTTTCCAATTGTCTTGATTAATGAGTCACATCAAGCACTAATACCTGTCTTGAAATGTTCACTGAATTTCATTCCTCTTTCGAAAACGGGCATCTCTTTGAATCTCAGCCCGTCACTGTCGCCGTAAATAGGCTCTGCTGAAGACTAACACGGCAGGCACGGCTCTCCACGTGTTGATCGGCAGGTGTCGAATCGAAGCAAGACGTTCGGATCAGCCATCCAGCGTCATGCAAGTGGTCGATAGCATTACAGCAAGACGTCATCACTTTGCCTCTGCCGACAAGCACGGGTGGCTGAAAACCTGCATGAACAGTTCAACTTGTTTCCAATAGAGCATAATACAAAGTCATTAACAACTTACAAGTTACTTAACTTATTCTAGACTGTTTCGTGTTCCATTGTTGCCTAGGTGTAGCCGTAAAGCCACATCTTGACACTTTTTTATGAATTTCATTCCTCTTCCGAATACGCACATCTCTTTGAATCTCAGCCTGTCTCTGTCGCCGTAAATATGATCTGCAGAACAAGCGCAAGAGAGCTTCTCTGAAGGGCCTGTAGGTGACAGTGTATATGAAGACATTCCACAGACTGTTGGACAAAAGAAACACAGTTGATACTTGTGCAAGAATCGGTGAGACCTGTTGTTTGGTCAACACTAAGTTAAACATCACGGTGACGATGAAGGGGACGTACGAGAGACAGAAGACGCCAGCAGCCAACGTCACCATCAACGGAAATTTGACGACGTTCTCTTGGTTGTCGGTGCCAACAGACTGAACACGTCGCTTACCTCGCTTCAGTTCTACAGCGATCATACAAGACGATATGACGATGATGGCGAGTGTTAGAAGCGGGATGCCTACAGATGCCACCACAGCCGACGTAGTGTCAAAATCGACCAAACACACACATAGATGGCGGTTGTAATAAAAGTCCATATCAGGAAACATAATCATGCAAAACCTTCCCACACTGAGCAGCACGGTGGTACCAGTGGCAAGAAAGAAAACCTTTGTAGTGACGAGTCTGGTATAGGCTAATGGTCTTGATATTGCTATGTAGCGATCTATGACTGCCAGAGCTATGTTGAATATTGTCTGACCTGTCAACAAAGTAGAAATGCCTGTTGCAACGCCAATTATTCCCTCGGAGTAGGCGAAGCGGTTAAGGAAGGCCGATGGTACCACAAACGTTAAAAAGTAGACTCCAAAACAGAGGTCACATACTGCTCTGAACGTCGTCAGCCACAGCGTGGGCATGTGCAGCTGTTTGGACAAGACGATTACCAGAACAGTGGCACCATTGCTTATTATCACGCACACCGATACCAGGAGGTAGATGACTCCAAGAATGAAGGCATCTCTTTTTGTGTCATCAGTTATGGTTTCAGTCTGATTTATCCCCAACTGTTCATTCATGTCTGTTGTCATCTCCGGATGGAGCCATTCAATCGTATCACCCTGTCGTATAATGCCGTGTGTTATGTTTGTTCCTGCAGCAATGACTATGTCGACGTTGTGGTGAACTGATATCATTTAGACGCGAAGGCACAATGTCTCAGCTTTAGCTGCAGCTTCTGAAGATCAAATCATCCAGATGTTTCAGATTAATGCACAGAATAATCCATAGATGATGGAAGTGTGTTTGCCAGACTCTGGAAACCCGCACACAATGACGTATTGTTGCTTGAGCATGTACACAGACAAACAACCAAATTGAGGTGTAATGGTTTAATTAGTGATGGTAAGTAGTGACGGACGGAACGGACGTACAAACATGGACTGGGGATGATACAAAGGAAGTGTTGGTTGATGGTATTTGCCGCAAGCCTTTTACACATGATAAACTCGTGGATAAATTATTATATTTTGTAGACGAATTTATTAATGAATATGTTTTGCTTCTATTTCGGTTGCGTTTTCATATTGTAGATGCAAATAAATACTGGATTAGATCGTGATAATGTTTTTGGAATCGAAACCAAGGCACAACCACCTGCTTTATAGCTTTTTAGCACAACCACCTGCTTTTAAAGTAGTTAATAGTATCTACGGAGAAAAAGCCAAGTTATGGAATACGTCATAGGCTTTTATCCCATAGGTGATTTCTGAAAGTATGGATATGAGAAGTTTATTCAGTAGTATTTGGGCCATAAGGCCTATGATACAGTTGACATATACAATTTAAATTACACGTGATCATAAACATTTGAGTTTCATATTGATCTTATTTTGAATATCTCATTTGAGACAGATAGCTGTTAGATGCTGTACATTACTATTTTGTGACATGAAAATTGCCTGAATGGTTAGTGGGCCTCTGTAGACTGATTGTAGCTACATGGTTCTCATCTTCATTAAGGTTATGATTACAAAGTTCACAGATGGGGTTGATTGCCGTTGTATCTTTATTGGTTCTTAGCTTGTTTATCTTGAAGTTTGTTAGCGAAGCTCTAAATTTGAAGTAGACTCTTATCAGTGTTTTGTTCCTGATGTTCGTGATTTATGATTCTCTTTCCAGTGAAAACTTGAATGAAGCGTAGTGGGTAAGGAAACTTGAACTGTTTATCTCATGATGCCAGTTTTGGTGTGATATATCTTTGAGGCGCTGTTTTAAACATGATAAGAAATTATTTACATCTCCGACATCCTGTGCGATCCATACATGTGAAAATCCTATCTTGAACAATGTTTCTCTAATATTAGAGGTCCAGTTTCTTTTTCCTACATCATCGAGTGATTTAAGCATTCGGTAACACTGGTGTGCGTGGCGATCGGTTGTCATTCGTAGAACTTTTATCCAGTACTTGATGGCCTTTACTTGTGTTGATATATAAATCAAATGTCTTCCAGTGTCGCCAAGAATTGCCTTGTTTTAAGCAAAATTGTATGGATATTCTGACAATCGGAAGTTTCCGGAGACCATTCCGCATGGGTTTTGGCGACAGCTGAGACGGCAGCAGTGGTGTGAATGAAAGAGTTGAAGTCCCGCTGTGAATAGTTTTCCATTTATATCACTGTGTGTCAGCTTAATGTGGGAGTGAGTGAGTTTAGTTTTACTCCGCATTCAACTATATTCCAGCTATATGGCGGCGATCTGTAAACATTTAAGTCTGGACCAGACAATCCAGTGATCAACAACATGAGCATCGATCTACGCAATTAGGATACGATGACATGTGCCAACCAAGCCAGTGAGTCTGACCACCCGATCCCGTTAGTCGCCGTTAGTACGACAAGCATGGGTTACTGACCAATCTAGCCCGGATCTTCACGGGTCGCGTATTGTGAGGAGAAAGCCCGCTGTGATGTAGGTCTGGGACCTTATCGCTTAGGTATACCCCAGGAACAAGGGTTTGGTTCTGACAAGCCTAGAAGTCGGGGCTAACAGGGATACAAACCCAAACCTCCATCGTGGAGGTTCAACGAGGAAGTGGGTTTAGTTTTAGGCAGCTTATAGCAATATTCCAGCAATATCATGGCGAGGTGTTGCTTCAGAAGTAATGTGAGATGAGAGGCAATAGCTGGCTCCCCTTATATACCTTTTTCAGGCAGATGATTCTGGGACTAACAGGGAATCAAACCCGTGATTATAGCTTTCTTTTGTGCCTTATATGATAAGCAGCGGTGGAGGGCATTAGCTTGAGTGAGTAAGTTTAGTTTTACTCCATTTTTAGAGAACGCTTCAACCACTAGGCTATCCCACCGCCTCAGTGGAAGTCGAACAGTTGGTCCTCTCCCTCATTTGAGATTTGAAAGACCATTCTCAATTGTAAGCGATTTTCTTATGTTAGATGGGTAAAATAAGATATTTGTAGGTGAAGGACAGGAGTATAATTTCATAATAATCGCTCAGAATAAATGAAATATGTGTTATAAAGGCTGGTTGACGCTCAGTCATACCACTCTTCGTCAAACATTGTTTTTTCAGGGTCACGTCATTTAAGACCTTAGTTAGCCTTCCAAGAGGCTTAGGACTCACGTGTTTCCAAATGCAACAGAGGTATAAATGATGTTCTATGCAGTTCCCGTTGTCGTTATATCATCATTCCGTGTTTTCTGAGAGTTGGAAAATTCACTTGCCTTTGCATGTGTTTGTGAAGGGTCTTGCGGTAGTGTAGAATGACTTTTAGCGAAGATATTGTGCCATCTTTATATCACAGTGATGCTGATGATATAATCGAAATTGTACAACAGATTCTGATTTTAGTAAAGTTTTCTGTTGTGGAACTTTTTTTCTGGTGCTGCTGAGAATGCTAATCCACACAACCACTACGACTTTCACAAAAGGTCCCACAACTAACAGTACCTTGTGATTATTCCACCTCCACCCTCTTGTGTCCTGAAAGTTTATTACATGAGCATTGAAAACGGGTGAAAATGAAGTGTGCACCCACCTTTCTCAAGAGTGTGCACCCCTTTTCTCAAAAAGCTGTATCCGCCTCTGTTATCTATTGATTTTTGTCGATCTAATTGAGAGAAAATGACGTTTATTGTGATATCTTTTGCTGATAGAAGCACCTCTTAAACGTTTTTTATGAAGCAGTGTTATACCTTGTGTAACAGTGTTTCAACTGTTACACATTGTTACCTGTGGATTCAGTGATGGGCAACTGTGTACTGTGTTTAGACTTGCGCTATATCTAGACTGAGTTCTTGAGGCTTCCATCCTTTACTGGCCCACGGAAACGATCTGGAAAGGTCTACATGGACTATATTTTAAAATTATCTGGGGATCTGGCTTTACATCTCACATTACATCTCAAGCCACAAAAAGACCAGTATTGTATGTGTTGATCATACCCTGGATGCTCCTTGCTTAGCCCTTTCTTTAGCCCTAGACGGATTACCGTCACTGAGAGGTGAATATCACCATCGTTGTCTTTATTGCTTTAATCCCTGTTAACGGATGTTCTGTTTGTCCCTGCAGCACAGGCGTTGCCGACGTTGTGGTCGGCTGATATGCATCAGTTAGATCCCTCACTAAGCCAGTTCAATTTTCCAGTAACTGCATACACACACACGGCTGTGTTCGCGATGTCTTACACTGTCTCACGATGTCTTATACTGTCTCAGCATTAGTTACAGTTTCTGAATAGCAAGTCATCAAGATGTGTCTAATTAATGCCATTCACAAATGACGGAAGCACCTCTGCCAAGACTCGGGAACCCATAGCACAATGACGTATCGTTGCTTAAACGTCTACACAGACAATCAACAAGAATGAGGCTTTTGGGTTGTAATATTCTAATCATTGATGGTAATATAAACTATTGGGTAAAAGTTATCACGTTTAAAATAATTGTATAGAAAACAAAAATGCTGGTCAAGTCTCAAACCCAAGCAGAAACCAACATGGTCCAGATACCAACATGGTCCGGGTGGTCCAGAAATGTATTTATATCAATATTGTTTGCATGCACATTCATACTGAAGTTTGTGCAAAATCATATCAACAGCTGGCAGGATATATCCCTCGACAAGAGGCAAAATAGAATTAATCATGTTAATTCACCAATTTTCAAACTAACTCCTTGAACTTCAGTAGTTTCTGAGAAAACTTGTCATATTGTTATGCACTAAATTAAACATATTGGATCAAGGGCTGCAACTGTGTAAAAAAAACATCAGTGTGACAAATACGGAAATATCGTTTTCCAAATCAACATTTGTTTAAACATGAAATACAAAAGTCAATAACAAAAGGGAAAAGTGCATTTATTCTGATATAAAGGTTTGACAATGCAAATAGTGGGACTGCCGTTGTCAACAGAATGATTCGTGTTGAGTGTGGAAAGAGTTTTGTTGTTTTTTCTTTGACATTCATACTTAATGCTTTTACAACACGACAACCACTCACCCCCTGTGCGTTGTCTCAATGGCTCAGTGGTCGGTCGCTTTGCCACTGTTTGCCTCTGTAGGGCTGTGTTGTAGCGATCAGAATGTTGGCCGGTTTATACACCAGACAATATAACGAAAGTTGCATGGATAGTCACGCGGTCATAGCTCAGACAAGCATGTACAGTATACCTTGTAAAAATGCTTTAAGTTGACATTGAGTCTGAATTACTTTGACAATTCTGTTGCTGTGTCAAGAATGGACGATAACAGCATTAACGAGTGTATTATGGAGTGTAAAGGAGTTGAATGCCGTGCGCGGCCAACCAAGTACGCTTAATTAACCATTCACTAATTGAATTCAGAAGATAAAACGATTGTTTGTTTTATTTAATTTGTTTTTAAGTCCGCACTCATGGATATTCCATCTAAACGGCGTTGACAAACATGAGGACTACATGGTCTATACTCAGGCAGGTATGAAATAATGGCAACCTAGTCCACCACCTCCTGTCTCCTCTGTTAAGGTCAACTGTGTGTCATCGCCCCTTTATACGGTAAATAGAAGCGACAAAACCCTTTCCACATCCAT